CCCCTGTCCCCCTCTCCCCCTCTCCCCCTCCTCCCCTGCTCTTCTTGCCTTCAACTCCGCGTTCCGCCAGCCAGTCTTTCCTCATCTCCAGCAAGTGCCCAGTGGTCTCTGCTTCGCTCCTGCTGGTCAACTGCTGGTCAACTGCACTCCCACCCACCACCACTGTAACCACCATACCACCCGTACTAGTCCGATGCGACTTTTCTAGACTTGCACCTACTCTCTTCTACTTCCCACTCATACTGCAACTAAACACTAACCCCCCCCCAACGCACATCTCCATCTCCATCTCCGCCTCCACCCTCCACACCCCCCAAAAAAAGGGCGTCCGTTCTCGACTCCAGTCTGCTTCCATTCCACCCACCCCCAAAAAGGACTTGGTCAATCAATCGCTACTGGTTACTCATCACTATTCACCACCACATCCACCACCACCACCACCACCGCCTCTCCCCAGATTCTCCGCATTCCCCCACACATTCCTCGGCGGTTGTCTTGCATGTCCTTGAACCACCTGCCAGTAAATCCTCCCTCGATCGACCTGGATTTCCGACAAACGGATATATTTATGAGAGAAACAGTAGTTCCCTCTAAACGCGCGGACGCGGTGCGAGTGGGAAGGTTTGGGACCGGAAAATCTCCTAGCGCTTTGAGTCGTGATTTAGGACGAAACCCAACCCCTCAGTCATTTGGAGCCTGAGCGACCACCCGGAATACCTTCACATTGTGCAACACCGAAATCCACAGAAGCCTTCCTCCAGAATGGCGGTTGTGCTGAACTCGGAGGAGAATAGTTATTTCTCGTCAGGTCCACTGCGTCGTTCTCATTCTCAGCCAAAATTCATCACCCAACCCTCATATTCGAGTACGACCACCAGGACCAAGTCTAGCAGCACCTTTAATATCCACTCGCCCTCCAACTCGGCATCCTCCTCAGTCAATTCATCGCCCAGGACCCTTCCTGCGGATTCCTCGGCTCCTTCTTTCTCCTCGACGCCTGCTAGTAGTCTGTCACTCGATGCGAATTGTGACGAAAACGACGAAGATCAGATTGCCTTTCCTTCATACGGCGACGTAGGATACTTTGATCAAGTCGAAGACCTGGAACCTCCACCTAGCCCACGTACGGGTGATTCGTACACAGTCTCACCCACCTCCGTCTCCACCTCCACCAATGCATCTCGACCTGGCTCTCCAGCCCCAGTAGAGCATGCCGAGGATGACACTGCCATTAGGATCCAACCATCACGGCACGTAGACTACTTGTCCCATAATTGGAAGGAAGAGGATATCTGGTTATCTTGGAAGCACATTGTATCGAAGCGTGGAGCGTACAACAACAGCGCGAGACTGGAAAATGCCTCATGGAGAACCTGGACGAAGGCCAAGAACAAGCTGAAGACGGTTTCTCCGGAAACACTCAATTGGTGAGTTAGATCGGAACCCTCGGATGGTCGTGTAATTGAGAACTAACAAAACCATAGGTTGAAGGATTGTGACGTGACCTGGTTATACGGTCCTCTTCAAACTGGCTCTGACAGAAAGATGTGTCTCCCTTCCACCTCCCCAGTTGAGCCCGCGGGCAGCAGATTGTCCAAATCAAATTCGTTTCTGAACAAGAAACCGATCTTGAAAAAGAGAAGCATGTCGGAGATCATGCTGCAAAGATCCATCTCATCGTCATCACTTTTAAAGCAAGCCGCAGCTGCGGTTCAAGCACAGCAGTTGGAGGTCCCAAATAGACCTCTACTACTAGGCCGCGCGACTTCAGATTATGCCTACCCATTTTCATCGGCAAGATCAAGTCAAGATCATACCAGTACACTAACATCTATGACCTCATCTGGCTTAGCTTCTCCAGGTACTAGAGAGCGAAAACATATCCACTTCAACGAACAGGTCGAGCAATGCATAGCATTGGAAATCAAAGGCGATGATGATGAGCCAGATATTTATAGCCGTGATTACGACGACAGCGACTCGGATGATGAAGCAATCATGATGAAGCCAAGTAAGATCAAGCGTGCATTACCACCTTTGAAAAAACCAATTCTCAATCATTCCTCGAGCGCTGATAACAAAACCATTGCCATGCTTCCTTCGACAACATTGAAATACCGAGAGGATACACCAGAGCCTCAAGAAACAGCCATGAAGCACAGCAATGGAATTTGGAATGGAAGCAGACTCTCGCCGTCTCCTTCTCAAGAAACTTTGAGACCATCAAAACCTTCATCAAGAATGCTACTTGGAGAAGATGAAGATGATGACGACCTGGATTGGGAACCTCCAAGTAGTCTCGGTAACCGAAAGGATAGCATATCAGTTCATCAAGAACGACCATCACATTTGAAATCATCGTCCTCCAGTTTGTCAGCTGAACCTTCTGGAATGCGAAGAACACCCTCCGGAATGTTTATGCCATATGAGGAAGATGAAGACGATGTGGTTTCGGAGGGTCTTTTCGGAAAGGTTGTTGACACTGTAAATACCGCAAAGGATATCGCACACGTCATCTGGAATGTTGGATGGAGACGTTGACTCAGCACTGCTACATCACATCCTGATTGACGACAACGGGGAAAAATGCCTCGATTGAGGCTATACATATACAAGGGGCGTACACATGAAATTGGGGTTCACTGTTACATAATATCATCTCGACAAACACATCAGTTGTCGACCAAGGCGTTTTGGGGACCAGGGGTTTTTTGATTTTCCATTGCTGGCACATTGCAACATTCTGCAGCTGGCCTTTGCACTTTGTTTTTCTGTAATATTTTTTTTTGCATGGGCCTCATTGAACCTTGACAAAGGAATGGGGAACCCTCACCTGGATTACTGGGTATGGGTGGGGCTTTTTTATTATTTCTTTCCCTTTTCTTTTCTTTTTCCTTTTCCATCTGAATTCTTCTTTTTTAGAAGGGGAATAGACATACGTGGGCCACCCGATATTTGATATTACTACTCCTGAGGAGAGTACATCTCTCGACTGGAGTTATGATATTACCTTTCTTTTCCAGGCAATGATTAATGACGACCGATATTTTCCAAAGGCATGGAATGGGGGGGGCGCACACTGCACTTGGGAACACACATTTGGGAGGCGAGGCTGGGGGGTTTGATCTGTGCAGTGCCCTGGGGTTTGGCTGATTGACTTGCCTGGGTTTGTAGGTAGCTGCTAGCTTTAGCTATTCATTTGGGAATCTTCCTATTGAAGTATGGATTTTTACCCTCTTTCTTCTTCTTTCTTCTTTCTTCCTTCTGAGGGTTGGGATGGGATTGGAAAGGGAAGAAAGGGAAGGGAAGGAAGGGAATGAGGGAAAGGAAGGGAAAGGAATTAGGTGTCTCTCGTATCTTTTTGGTAATTGGGAAATGGGGATTTTTTTGGCTCTCTTCTACTCCTCTTTTTCTTCGCTGAGTGTTGGTTTGGGATTGGGTGGTTGGGACGAAGGCGATTTGGGCTATTGGCTGGCGGGCGAATTAAAAGTGTATAGATCGATTTGATGGATTTCTTTATAATCTGGGTATTTTTTGTGTGTGATTTTGTGAGTAAGTGTGTGTGTGTGGGTGTGTGTGTGTGTGTGAGTTAATTGAGTGAGAGTGTTGAGTAAGTAATTGTCACATGCCTGGTCGATTGGATCCGTCGGCCGGTCTCTTCCTTCTTCCTTCTTTCCTCCTTTTCTTTTTTCTTCTCTTGGGGGAGAGGGGGGGGTTGAGTTGGTGTGTTAGTAGGTTTCTTGGTTTCTAGGGGTTGAGATAGGTATGAGTTGGGATGGGATGGGATGGGTATGAGATTAGTCTTGGTGGGTTTTTGGGTTTGGTTGTGGTAGAGTAAAGTAGAGTAGAGTAGAGTAGAGTGGATGTTTGTCTTTTGGAAGTTTTGAGGGAAGGAGGGAGGAGGGGAGGAGGGGAG